CATAAAATAAAACACTTTATTTAAAATCAAAATAGTCAATCGGATTTCGGTGGAAAATGAGCCGATATAGAGTTTAGCATAGATTCAAAACAATCATATCGCCATATGAACTCTGATAAATAAGATTCCAAATGAAATAACATTTCCAAAACGTACGTTTACCAAGATAAAGTTTTATGTTGTGGGAATTGGTACATTTTCGTTTTTTCGGTAAAATATTTCCCTCCTGAAAAAATAAAATTGCATCTTGTTTTGTTTTTGGCAAATCCCAAAGACGAATTTTCGTAGCACTAAAAATGGCGACAAAAAAGAATTGTTTTTTTTTTTTTGTTTCGTCAGCATTCTTTATTTTACGTTTCTTAGTTTCTAAATAATGATTTTTATTGAAACTTGAAATTTTTTGATAAAAATTGTTGTCAAAAAACTTTGTTTACAAAATTAAATTTCATAAAATTATGAGGCTTATGTATACTTTTTGTTCATTTTAATTTTTGAAGTAATATGATTCTTAAAACTATAGAATGTAAAGTTTAAATGGGCCTTTCATGTTATATCATTAAATTTAGTAATACTATTTCTCGGGCATTAGGTTTTAACTCTTATAAGAATATACATATTTTTTTCTGTTAATGTACAAATATTTTTCCGATGTGTTTTGGATATTCCTTCTCTAATAAAAAGAGATACCATTTTGTTTTCGGTTGTACAAGAAAGAAGATCAAGCATTTTTCTTTTTTAAATTTAATAAGCCACATTAAAGAAGGAACGTTGCAATGCTACACGCTACATTAACGACGTCTCCAGAGTAACTGAATGACGGTTCATATAGAAATCGCAGGTATGCGTCTCATACAACAACGCCCCCTATAGTTCGTTACGATCGCGATCTGGCGGATAATGAGCCTGTAGTTCTAGTTGAACGATTGATTTCGGAAACAATGTATCAGAATTTTTAAAAAAAATAAATCAGGTAAAATGATCGAAGGCAACCAAGATCCTCGATCCTCACTACCAGGCTCAGTCGTCAAAGGGGTCTGCCCGTAAAAGAGAGCTAAATACACTTTTAATAAACGATGTTAAATAAATTGGTAATTCTTACTTACTTTTGCATACTGCCGTTGAATAGATTTTGAAAAGTTGTTCGCAAACTCTATTTTTCCTTCCTCTTTTAATGCTGTTTTTCGAAGCTCTGTCGCCAAAGAAAATAAAGAAGCCATAGTTTAAGTGCCTTACACTTGAATCAATGCGATGAATTTAAACTATATAATCTTACCGTGGAGAATTATCTGGGCTTTAGAACCGACAAATGACTTATATATTTTAAAAGTCATTAAACTCTTTTAAAAATCGACATTTTTCCACTGAAAATTATCAAAATCACTGTCTTATTCTCAGTTTTTGCCAATTTTAATGAGCCCTGGTAATGCAGTAAGTTTTTAGATACTTAAAAATTAGACCACAAACGCTTTTTTTCATTTTTACAAAATAAACGTATACAGCACTGGCGATAGGCTAAGCTTGACCTAACAGTCATGAGTTACAGTTGCCAACTCACAGCAGTTATGAAAATAGCGTATTATTCACAAAAAAAGCATCATTTTATATCACAACGGAGCGTATTATTCACAAAAAAAGCATCATTTTGAGCGTATTATTCACAAAAAAAAGCATCATTTTATATCACAACGGAGCCTTCGAAAAACAGCTTTAATGATGTTATCTTAAGGAGTTAAAAGCGCTTTTAATCATCGATATTAAATAAATTGATAATTCTTATTTACTTTTGCACACGGCCGTGATTTTGAAAAGCTGCTGGCAAACTCTTTTTTTTTTCTTTTAATGTTGTATCAAAATCACAATGATACTCGAATTTCTTATTTTTTCAAGTTCAATTATAACTGAGAAGACAAATTATTATGTTACTTAACATTTTCTTATACTCCGCATTCTCAGATGAATAAGTGCTTGATTTTTAACAAAAATGCTCCCCAATGTTGATATTGTAAATATTAAATTTTTCAACCAATAAATTCGAAAATAAACCAATAAATTAATTTACTAATTATAAAATACCTATGGCATAAGGCATAAAAATTATCCCAACAATGTGATACAGTAAATTTAAACCTAAGGTATAAGCTTTTTCACTCTTTCTCAAATTTTTTTTTAAAAAATTCTAAAAAATATTGGTTTGCAATACTTTGAATTAGTTATGAACGAAAATAAAGTAATTGTTTAACAAATTTCATTTAAGCCTAGCCACAATTTAAATTAATTTCAAATCACAACTTGCTAACGCATTCTTGAAGTTTTATAATCAAATAAATGTTCAAAACATTGCGGACTTTTGATTGAAAAATTTCAACACATAACCACCTGTTATCCGCGCAGCTCTCAAAAAAAAAAATAATAATAAAAAAAATAGAGGTTGCGTTTACATTTTTTACTACAACACTATTTATATGATACATATTGTTCAATAGGAAAATTCTGGAAAGATATTTGCCTTTCTTTATGCTTTCTAAAACATAAATTTTAATTTTAAAGTCTCTAATAAATCATCTTCTCTATGGAGAAATTGATTTATTTCTAGAAGAATTTAAACATTTATTATTTTCCTTGGAGAGTTTAGATATACGTTTTATTTTATATCCTTTAAATTTTTATGCAAAAAACAATAAATCAACTTCTTCAAAATATATGAGCGAGACGCTATTGTCATTTAGATAACAAATCGTTGTTATCATATCGGAATGTGGTTAAAAGTTTATCCCTGGGATAAGGAAATAGCATTACCCATAAGTAGCTTTAAAAATCTTTATTCTTACTACATCTCGTTTCACAATTTATTCCCACCAATGCATTAGTAATGGGTAATTATAATCCCATTGATTCGCGTCCAAGCTGCTATTTTTGATAGATTTGCTGGTAAATGTGCATAAATGTTTATCTAGGGCGAAGTTGAAAAAATTTGGAAAAGTACATGGTTATATAAATATTAATGTCAAGCTGTATGAATATTAATGTCATGTTATGCATTAGTGACATACAACTCCTTTAATGTATAGTGACATACAGTTTTGTCTTTTTCAGCTTTGGTGGGAAATGTAAAATTTTGAACCGTGTTGCCTTATGGAACCGAAAATATTTAATTTCATGCTCTATTTTTCGAATATTTTAAGTAATAAAATATTTAATTTTTTTTTCTCATTTGGAAATAATTAACAATGATATAGAACAGTGTTTCCCAAAGTGTGGTACGCGTACCCCCAGGTGTACGGGAACAGTTTAGCGGGGGTACGCGTTTTTATGCGAAATATCTTGCAACAAACGAAAATTTCGAAAATTTTTATTTAAAAACAAAGCTAGCCATAAAAATTTACGATTACGTATTTTTCTATTGGCTATTTTTTGCAGAGTTAACAGTTAATAAATAGTGGTGTCGACAGCCAGTTGTGATTTTTAACTTTTATGAAATTTTTTTTTATCACAGCAGCTGTTATCACAGCAAAAACAATATCATCCTTCTCACTGATGCAAATTTACTAATTAACAAAACTTCGTACCAAAAAAGAAAAATAAACATATTTTTTAAAAAGTGCTTTCATTTTTTTATTAGTGGTACGCAACGTTACGAAAAATTTAGTAAGGGTACACAAAAGTTATAAGTTTGGGAAACACTGATGTGGAATAAGGTTTAGTTTAGCATGTTATAGTAATTATTTCATGTTCATAAAAAAAAGATATGTTATTAAAATAGAACTATTGAACAGAATATAGTAAATGTTGAAAAAAATACTTTTATTTTCAAAATTATTAATAACAATTATTAAATAGTTTTCTATTATGTGACAGCAATTATTAAATAACAACAACAATTTACTAAACAACATTTGACATTTAACTAATTAATAATTAACTCGAAAATAAATAAATAAACAAAATAATAAAAAATCTAATAAGTGAAGGGGAAGAAAAAAAAAAACGATTCCTTAGATTCTTGCAACCACTCTAAACTATTTCTGAAAAAAAATAAAGGAATCAAAATAACTTCTATCCAGCAAAGGAAAGTGTAAAACTTTACACTTATGTAGACTTAAGCAAAAAACAAAGTGAAAACGGCACACATTTGTTTATTTTTATTTGTGTTTTTTTTCATGTTTTTGTTATATCATTAAATTTAGNTTTTTTTTTTTTTTTTTTTTTTTTTTTTTTTTTTTTTTTTTTTTTTTTTTTTTTAGTGTAAAATTGCTTGTAATCAATATTTTAAAATCTAAGTAAAATATGGATTCTACAATATCATTATTCTGTAACTGTATACAAATTCAATACCTCCTTTTTAATATAGTGTTTTTTAATTTAAAAATTTTGCTATTATTGTTATTGTTTATTATTAAAATTTTATTATTATTGCTTTTTTAATTTTTTTTTTCAAATTTAAAATGATCCAAAAGATTTAACTTTAAATTATTTTTGGAAAAAATCCGATCCTTTTATTTTATTTATTGATTTATTTCATGGGAGGTGGTTCAAAGTTTAAAGAAATGTATGTAAATATTTTGTAAAGTGTCGAAAATTTGTAAGTTAAATTTAACTGATTTCTACCAGAATTTGAGAAATATCCTGCTCTTTGATATTAGTGAACAACAGTAGTGTGACTTTATTTCTTATGCATATTTAATGAATAATTCATTGTGTGGTATAAAAATGTTTAAAATTCATAAAAACTTTAAATTCATTTTTCACACCATTAAAAAAGATATAAACGATTGTAGAATCTTTTTATTCCGAAAGAAAAAAAAAACCGAAGCCGGAAATCCGTGTTTTATTTCATGGAAAAAGCACGATGTTCTCCTCAGTTGTGAAAACTAAGGAATACCCAAGAATTGAGAAATAAGGTCAATACGCGATCGGTCCACCTCCAAATCCGTGATAAAAACCTTTGTATATTTCTTTCTCATTTTCCACACGTGCATTTACGGAACGGAGGAGAGTAGTTACGGTTTTAGACGCACCGCGGACACTGGCGCTGATTGTTGTGCGGGATTCATTTTCACATGGTTGTAGAGCGCAGACTGGAATTTACCTTTGATGAGAGAAGTTGTCATTCTGAATCAGTCGGTGAAGTTATAAGTGAAGTGGGATTTTGAATTAGGTGTTGGACTTGCCCGGAATTAAGAAAAATAACATTACTTTGTAGTAAACTAAACCACCTGGATCTTATAATCTTAGTCAGATTTGTTTATAAAAGTAAGTGGCATCTTTGTTTCATTAATACCTATAGTAAAAAACCTCTATTATACTACTCTCAGTGTACTATCAAGTCTAAATAATAACTAAATTTTACTATAGTCAGATGATTGCAATGCTTTTAAAATTTTTGTCGAGAACATAGACTGTTAAAAATGCGAAACGTTAGGGTTAGTTTATAATAATAAAAAAAAAAAAGTGTACCCTTTTTTTTCTTCTTTCTCCATAGTATTTAAAAGTTTTGTTTAAAATACTTAATTTTGTTTAGCTCGTTACTTTGATTTGTTTTAAACTCTGGGAATACTTTGGAGTAATATTCTATAATTGTAATTATTTTCTTGAAATTTTTAATTTAAAGATAATTATTGTTTAAAATACTAATCTCATTTATGGAATGTTTTCTTTATAATATTAATTCTGTATTTAAATGTTATTTATAAAAATGCTGCAAACTAACTTTTTTAGTGATATAGCGTGTCTAACATGCATGAATAAAGTTTTTGATAGAAAATAGTATGCTGATGTTATTTGTTTATCGGTAATTTTAAAAGTTAAAATTTTGTGGGAAATTTTTATTTTGTGATTTAATTTCACAATATTACTTTTTTAAAAACCTTAACGTTTCGATGAATTTACAACTTTTTTTTTAAACGCGAAGGGATCTTTTGCTGATTAAGTCTTTCCCTTTGTTTATTTAGTTTTGTATTTACTTTTGTATGTTGATAATTGAAAATTATACGCTTAACGTTTTTTTTTTTTTTAATCACAATTTGATTTATTTTTAAAGAAAAAAATGCAATGCGATTAAACTATACTTTAGTAATCCAGTTATGACTTATTTCGAATGTTTTATAGAAGTGAAGTGCACATTCTAAATCCATAGGAATAAGTTTCCAAAAGCAACTGATTTTATTTGGAATTTTATATACCGTAATAGTTCTCTTTAAATTTATACGAAATGCTGCTATTCGGGGTCAAAATGAACAATTCTCGTTATTTAGCGTTCAAAACAATAGTTTTCTCATGTAAGTATAGCGTGAAATTCTTCAGGTCAATCATTTTAAACTTTTGACCTCTGTACTTTTATATACCTTTGAATTCTATCGGAAATTGATGTCACAACACGTTTAAAAGGAAAAACAGTATATGTCTAAATATTTTTATGTTTATCATTTTCTCCATTGAAGTCTCTTTATTTTGTTGCGATTCTTTTAAAAAAGGCTATTCAAATTCTAATGGCATTGTAATAAATAATTCTTTTATTTTCAGTAATTGTTTTTCACCTTTTAAATTTTAAGTCTAAAACATTATTCAGAATAGGTTATTAGTGTTTTTAATTTTTTTTTCTCTTTATGATAGCCAGGTATCGAGGCTGTGGATTGTTTAATATCTAGGTCATTTCGTTTTATCCTTTTAATTTACACGCGACATCTTTGACAGTTTTTTTTTTTTTTGAAGTGAAGTTTTTTTTAATGAATTTTTAATGTTATGTAACGCTTTGATCATTGAAAAATGCTAAACTTTTGGACACTTTTACACAGTCGCGTTGATTTTGCTCAATCTTTATTTATTTCCCAAATTTCTTTTCTCTCTTTGCACAGTTTCAACTTTTATATCTATTATAGTATGCATAAACTCTATTGTAATAACACATCATTGAACTTGTGTTAATATCTATAAATTCCCAAATCTGGTGCTATAGCGAAGTGTTGACCAGCAAATCCAATAAGTTAACATTTTAATTTATCTATTTGCTTTTTAAGTATCTGTTATGACAAACCAATTATCTAACACATTGGTTACGAATGGCGATTTCTCATTTGTACAGACATTATCAGATTAGGTACACCAAGCTGAACTCATTTATCATTAGTTTTCGAAGCACGCCTACTTCAGCCTTCTCTGTTCAAAAAGGTGTTCTAAGGATATGACCAGGGGTGACCTTTTGTGTCCCATTGAGATCTTTTATTGGAAAAAGTAAGAATGCCATCGTCATTGGTGTAGTTTGTAAGAGTGACTGTGCCCTGGCATGATAGAGCGCGTTTTTAAAGAACTTCTTATTCGGATCAAGAATTGTTTTAGAATTTTCTGGCATTTTTATCTAGTGGTTATGATAGTCAGGATGAACTATTTCTACCACTCACCCATGCAACATGTTTTTAGTATGCTATCCATATTCTAATTTAATAGTTCTGGTAGGTCACTTGTTTTTTTCTTTTGTAGAATTCTTAACTCCTATTCTGTCGTGCGATAGGAAAAATCAACGTAAGCGACAAAATTCAAAATTGGGATTTGTATGAATTTGCATCTCTGTATGATGAACTACTTGTTGCAAAAATATTTTTTCAAAAATAAATTTCGTTTTATCTGTTTTCTGAAATTCTGTTTTAGCATTATAGCAACAGAAAGAAAAAAGCTGTCAAGCCACTTTTCTCGGATTCTACGTTTTTTCAATTGCACGGCAGTATTAATGTTTAAGAGAAAAAAAAGAAAAAAACTGGTTTGGTACTGGAGTCCAAGTTTCAGGAAATATTTGGAAATTTTATAAGCCCATTGGCACTCTTTGCATCTAATACCGTAATGAAAGAAGTAATTTAGTTAATCACTAAATTACTGCAGGTGAAAGTTTCTTCTAAAGTTATTCGGATAAACTCTAAAGACAATTTGATTTATTTCATTTAGCCAGTATATAAAGAACTTACTCTGAATAAACTGAGTAAAATTAAGCAATGTCGCAGTAGCGCGTTATTAGCCAGGGGAGTCTTTAACATTATTGCTTCACAATCGCGTGACAAATGGCATAATTATGACTATGTGGTGAGTATTGCGCACAGGTCGCCTTTACTTTCCAGGCGAACTGGTACCCATTTATCTGAAGTTGAAGTAGTAGTGAGGTTCTCCATATTAAATTATAGGGTAGGGATATGTAGTCAGAATAAGCGTCCGACGTTTATTGTAATTTTAAACGTAAGTTTAATAAATTTATGATACGTATTCTGTTTTTCTTTTCGAAATGCGTGCTTAAAGAGCTTTTGTAGAATAGTTGCTAGTCGTATTACCAATTTGTTTAATATTAATTTATATTTGAATTAATGACTCTTTATTTTATGGTTTTAAAACTAAAGGTATATTTCCAATTTTTATTAAGTCATTGAGTACAGGGTGCGTAGCCAAATTTTTTAACAAAAAATAAGTACTTTTTAAGCACTCAAAAATATTTTTAATCACTTTTCAAAGAAAAGAAAAATGGTATCTGTGCAGTAGTAAAATTTTTTTTCTATCATTTAAAGTTAATTTATTAACTTTAAACGATAAAGTTCAAAACAATTTTCAAAAACTTAACACAATCATAAAATAATAAATATTCAGAAAAAATTGTGAAAATCGTGCGTTTTTTTTTTTTTTTTTTGTAACGATAATCGACACGGCAAAGAAAAAATTTCTTTTTAGAAGATAAAAAATGAAGCAATTTTTATAAACCTCGAAAGCACTTTTAAGGACTTATAAAAAATGAGCGCTTCTTAAAAATGCTACGCACCCTGGAGTAGGTCTAGAACGCTACCAAAATACCAACATAGACTGGGTTCTTGAGAAAGCAATTACTATTCTTAATTTAAAAGCTTTGTGATGAATATTATTTTCGGCAGTTCTTTCCATTTTACCAGGCTTTGATTATTGGTTCTTTCCGCTTATTGGACGTTTTCTGTTTCATCGATTTTCCTTCAATAAAAAGTAAGTCTCGTCAATAAACTGTCTGCCTCTAGATTTCTTTTTATTCTTTTCAAAACTTTGTGTTGTCTAGTGTCTCAGTGACCTAGATACTAGGCTGAGAACCAATTTCAATCTCATTTCTTTGGGAAGCCTTTTGTCAATCGGTTTTTAAAACAAGGTGTGCATTTTTGAAAACTTCCATTAAGTGAAATGTATTTACTAAGTAGTTGGTGTCTTTATTTAATTGATCAATTTGTATCTGTCTTAATTTGTTTTTAATCGCTAAAGATAGTGTTGTTGAATAAATACTGGTTCCTATTTTTTCTCTCTTTCATCTCTTCGCTCTACCTACTTTCTAGTACCGTTTGATGATTTTACCTTTAGTGCATATCATCGCAAGTTTAACTACATCTAGTTTAAAACTTTGTATCGTTCTGTTCATTTAATAAAATTTTTGATAAATCATTGATTTTTAAATATTTTGTGTCCAGTTCTCTAATTTCAAAAATGGTTGCCGTCACTTTTCTTCCAATTCGGGTTAACTATTAATTTAATAGTATTTTGGACATATTACAAAAATCTGCATTGCGCAGAAAGTTGAAAGCATGTGCTTTATATTTTAAAAAAAAGGAAAAATACTTCGCAGATTAGCTGGAGAAAAAGGTAGTGTTTATTCGAGATTTTGTCAAATAATCCGCATTAATGACCCCCCCCCCCATGAAGAGAAAGAAAAAGGAAGCAGTATGTACTAGGAAATCTCTAGTACTAGGGATTTCATAAACTTTTCTACATGGTTACATTATTTAAAATGAGGCTATGCAATACTGTCAAAGCTTACAGAAATACTATTTTTTTTTAGGAATTTCCAATAGTATTTCGGTTATTATTTTAAACTATTAGAAAACTATGCCTCTTCTTCATTGAGGAAAAAGATTCTTTGATTTTTCATTCTCAAAATCCGATTTTCCCCTCCATAGCTACGAAGCTGAGTACTTACCTAAAGAAATTTCACTAAACACTGTAGCCTGTTTCCTCGTGAGTAGGGCAAATGATATAAGTAGATAATAAATTACTGTCCCTAATCCCACGTTTTAAATTTGTTTGATTCCTAAATGACTTAAGCTTTCGAATTCTCCCCTGCTACTTTAAAACTTATCTTATACACAGGTATTCAGGTTAAAATTTTAAAGTTTTAACACCTGGTCTACCGAAACCTGACAAAGAGTTAATATGGCATACGAATTATGCTTTCAAAATGGGGTAAAATATATTAAATTAATAATTATCTT